TCTGTCGCCCAGGCTGGTGTGCAGTGGCTCAATCTCAGCTCACTGCAACCTCTGCCTCCCGAGATCAAGCTATTCTCTTGCCTCAGCCTTCTGAGTAGCTGGGACCACAGGCATGTGCCACCACGCCCGGCTAATTTTTGTATTATTAGTAGAGACGGGGTTTCACCATATTGGCCAGGCTGCTCTTGAACACCTGACCTCATGATCTTCCCGCCTCAGCCTCCCAGAGTGCTGGGATTACAGGCATGAGCCACCATGCCTGAACGCATCTGATTTAGTTAATTACAGTTCCTTCCCGAATCACTTTCCGCACTTGGTATCTGGGATGCTGCTCTATTGATTGTTCTCCTCCCTCACTGACTGCACCTTCTCAATCTCCTTGCTAATTCCTTTGCTGCGCCCATTTTCTGTCCTCTGAATACCGGAACACTCCACACTCAAACCCCACCGCTGGAATGTTAAAATAGATCCCTGATCTGACTGCCTCTTGCATCTCCACTGCTAGTCTAAACCATTAGACTGGTCACTGCAATAGCTTCTCTCCTGGTTATTGCAACAGCTTCCCAGCTGATCTTCTCACCGCTACTCCACAGCAGCCACGGGGTCCTTTGAAGACAGCAGATGGGCCATGATACTCTGCTGCACAAAACCATCCAGTTGCTCTGTTTCATGGGGTCAGAGCCTAAGTTCTGACGGTGCCACAGAAGGTCCTACCATATCCGGCCCCGCTGCCCAGCATCCACCCCTCCCAATCGCCTTCTGTTCACTTGCTTTCTCACTGCATTTCAGCACACCAGCCTTTTTGCTGTTTCTTATTTTTCTTTCTTTTTTTATTTTGAGACGGAGTTTCGCTCTTGTTACCCAGGCTGGACTGCAATGGCGCGATCTCGGCTCACCGCAACCTCCGCCTCCTGGGTTCAGGCAATTCTCCTGCCTCAGCCTCCCAACTAGCTGGGACTACAGGCACGCGCCACCATGCCCAGCTAATTTTTGTATGTTTAGTAGAGACGGGGTTTCACCATGTTGATGAAGATAGTCTCGATCTCGTGACCTCGTGATCCACCCGCCTCGGCCTCGGCCTCCCAATTACTGTTTCTTAAACACAGATGCCCCTTCCTGTCTCGATACCTTCCAGATAATCATTGCTTCTGCTTGGAAAGCTGCTGCCCAAGGTGTTTGCATGGTTTGCTCCCTTTGCCAGCTAGCTGTAGTTACAATAACGCTGCATAGGGATGCATCCCGTCTCCTTCTCAGAGAGGGCTGTCTAACATCAAATGCAGCCCCCATTCCCACTCCCAGCACAGCTCACCGTGGTTTTCCTGTCGTTCTCATCACTTTCTAATACGTTGTATAACGTTCATCATTCATTTCCCCTACATTGTAGACTCCATTTTATTCACCAGCATATCCCCAGCTCTTTAAACAGTGCCCGATACTCCTCAGTCGGCATGCGTGAATTGTTTGCTGAATAAATATCAAATCTAAGAATGACAGTTTGCAGCCTGGAGCCTAGAGTTTTGCTATGGAAGAGTGGGCATTTGTCACAGCAGAGACGAGACCAGAGAAATAAGAGGCCAGAGTTTCCCAAAGGCCTTGTATGTCGTGGACACTAAGGTGTCTGGGTTTTACCCTGCAGGCAGTGGCAAAGCGCCGAATCTTTTAAGCAGTGAACTGTCGTGATGGTGAAGGTGCCTAACATGGCTCTGGAGACGTCGTGGAATAGAACAGGGTACAGCCTGGTGGCTCGGAGCCCAGGTCACCGGCTGTGGGCGGTTGCACTGATGAGCAGGAAGCTTTATTTGAGTCTCTGAATGCAAGCTGTGTGAGCAGTTGCTAACTTCGCTCACTGGCCTACCTGACAAGGACTCCCCAAATGTGCCAGAAAGAAAATATGCAACTCCAGTTGGGAAGGAAGCCCTCTCAGCCAGACTTCTTTCAACCGAGGCTCAACCTTCGGGTATCATCTGAGTGCGTGTTGTAAGACTAACAATCACTTACCCTTATGTAGCACCAAAGAGCTTACAAAGGATTTTCCCGGCCATTTCATCTAAGACTCAAAGATCCAAAATACTCTAGCCAGTATGTGTAAGTAGCTACTTCACTGGTTAAGAAAGGAAGTAACACTTCTATCCTGAAATACACCAGAACAATTTCTGGTGAATTGCTACAAATACAGTTAAAATACAACGGGGACCTACTTTTATGCTTCTAACAAACACTGTGTCGGACCTTAAATTTTCAGAGATCAAAGGTTAGTGCTATGTTCAACCCGCTCCTGTGGGTCTTTACAAGCCATCAAATGACTCTGCTCCCCACAGTTTAGTCACTTAAGGAAATGAACAGGGACACACATAAAGGTACTAACAGGTAAAGTAGGTGCTTTCCCCGGTTACTGCTACATGCAGTAAGGGATCATACGTTACTTCCCCCAACCACTGAGAAAGCATTCGGGCTTATAAGAATATTTATAGGGCTATGAGGAGTTCCCCGTTTGTCCCCCAAACCTTTTACATACCCCTGAAAAGGTTTGTTTCTACGTAAATAGTCTTTATGCCCATACCCTTCTTTCTTGGCAGAAACCCAAACTGGTCATGTCTGTATTTGAATGTTACAGCCGAGCAATTCATTTTATATAGATACAGACTTTCCTATCTATAACAGCTTTAGAAATGATGAATGTGTCTAACCTGTTCATTTTCCTCCTGAGAAAACTAAGGCTCGCCAAGCAAAGGGCGGGAACAAGGAAAGAAAACCTGATGCTTACTAAGCTACCGCCCTGAGCAGGCCTGGGGCAGGCAGGGCTCCATACATGACTGCCCTTGTTCCTCCCTGGGGCAAAAACTCTGTGGCATAGATATATTAGTCAGGGTTTTACAGAGAAACAGAACCTATAGGATTGGTGTACAAGATTTACCCTAAGAAACTGACTCACTCAATTACAGAGGCTTGGCAAGTCCACCATGAACAGGGTCGCCATTAAGCTGCAGACCCAGGAAAGCACGATACTGAAGACCAAGTCCATCTGCTAGCAGAATTCTGGCTTGGGGAGAGCTATTCAGGCCATCAACTGATTGAATGAGGCTCGCCCACATTGCAGAGAGCAATCTGCTTTACTGAAAATCCACCAGTTTAAATGTTAATCTCATCCAAAAACACCCTCATAGAAACATCCAGAATAATGTTTGCCCAAACCTGAGTTCCACTGACCAAGTCAAGACATATAATTAATCATCACAGTCGATAATATAATCTTAAAACTGAACCTCAGAAAGTATGAACGACCGAGTCAAGGCTGAGACTAGAACTCAGGAGTTTGAAGTCCCAGTAGATCCTCTTTCTACTAAATTATGTTTTGTTCTCAAAAGAAAACAACACTGTTTGTGTACCTAATATCCTGATATTTGCCAGGTTTTGTGTTACGTAGCTTGTAAGTTCCCATTTAATAGAGCACCGTTGTATAGAAAAAGAAATGGAATTCTAGAAAGGCTGAGTAACAAGCCCAAAGTAGGAAACAAGTGCTGGAATTGGAATCTACGTCTGTGTGGTTCTAGCATCTCCTGCCATCCAGCATTTTTGTTTGTTTGTTTAGACAGAGTTTTGCTCTTGTTGCCCAGGCTGGAGTGCAATGGCATGATCTTGGCTCACGGCAACCTCCGCCTCCTGGGTTCAAGCGATTCTCCTGCCTCAGCCTCCCGAGTAGCTGGGATTAGAGGCATGTACCACCATCCCTGGCTAATTTTTTGTATTTTCAGTAGAGACAGGGTTTCTCCATGTTGGTCAGGCTGGTCTCAAACTTCTGACCTCAGGTGATCCTGCTCACCTCAGCTTCCCAAAGTGCTGGGATTATAGGCGTGAGCTACGGCATCGGGCTGCCATCTGTCATTCTTTAATTATATATCTCCTGCTACTCTTTTTTTTTTTTTTATTTGAGACAGAGTCTCACTCTGTTACCCAGGCTAGCGTGCTGTGGCTCAATCATGGCTCAACGCGGCTTCAACCTCCCGGGCTCAAAGGATCCTCCCATCTCAGCCTCCCAAGTAGCTGGGACCGCAGGCATGAACCACCATGCCTGGCCTACCACTCATCTTTCTCTAAGTTTGGCAGGATGAAATTTCTTTCCAGTTTTTTTTTTTTTCAATGTCCTAGAGTCTTCCTCAGCTAAGAACATTCCTTCAGTTCAAAGTGAGTTTCAAATATCAGATGTGCATACATGATGAGGAAACTGGTTGTAAAGAAATATATACCCTCTTCCACGTCAATATGAGTATTGTCTCAAATAAAAAGCTACCCCAGGCAAGGAACACTCATTCCGTTACTCAAAACTTTTCTGTGGCTCCTTTTTTGAAATTGCCTTCAGGGTCTGTATTCTTTGCTTTTCGGAAGTAGTTTTAATGTTAGCAAATGTTCGTTCTTTGATTTCATTTTTGGGAAACAGCCCAAAATCGTCTGGTGCCAACTGTGGTGAAGGAGACACAGGATCAGGCTAATACAGTTTAGATTGAGTTTTAAAACAAGGTGTGACTGTGAAAGAACAAGTTATTTTCTTTATATGGCTTCAAGGATAAACCAGTCTCATTCTGAGCATAATAACAGAATAATTGTTTGAGTTGGAGAGGTTGCTTCTCAAGTGACTACACAGAACAGACAATAATCTATCTGGTTTATCCTGTTACTTTATGTTCACTCCACATGTTAAAGTTGTTTTAAAAATAACATTTCTGGAAATGTTTTGGAAGGAGATCCTCGTACGTACTGTCACTGGTTGGTTTTGGCCGGATGAAGACCTCCACAATGATGTCAGCGTTTATAATACCTCAGCAGTTGTAACTCAGAGACAATGATTGAGGATTTTCCATTATGTTTTTGAATCCCAATAATGCAAAGAGCTAATCAGACAAAGGGTTTTTCTTGGAAGTTAAGTATTCTCTGCTTTTTCACTAAGCACAAACAAAGGGTATGGGAGAACAGACCTCTCCCCCAAAAAGAAATGAGAGAACTGCTGGTCTTTGAAAGTTTATAAAGGAGTGTCTTCCTGCTCCACAGCTGTCTTTCTTAATGTCCCCTCATTGTACCCCTTGTAATCCATACACGGAAATCCCCTTGGATTCCACACATAATTAACACTTGGCAGAAACAGCGTGAGCCTGAGGCTCTCTTCAATTACATTTAAGAAATTCAGATTTCCATGGGAGTGGTGAGGGGAGGGGAATTTAGGCCCCGCCACTCTCCCAATATTCCCAGTTGCATGAATGTATAAAAGTGTCTTCAGCCAGTCCAGAGGTCTTTACTGAGCATCTGCTATGTACAGGGCATTGTGTACGTATCGAGTGAGCCACAGAGTGATGTCAGACAAGTTCCAACTCTTGTTCATTTCACTGAGGTCACTCCAGGTCCCAAATCTGTGAAAAGGGTACAAAATGAGTGACAAGTTGGAAGGGTCACAAAAGGCCTCACAGAGTGGTGAGAGATGAGCTGTACTGAAGCATGGTTAAGATACAGAGGAGCTAGAGTTGGGGGAAGGTACCTTAGGCCAGAAGAATAACAAGACACCAGCGGTGGAAATGGTAAATATGTAGTCAAGATACAGCCCATGGAGACTGAACGGGAGGTCTTACAAGACAGGCTAAGGACAGAGCTTTGGGAAGCTGCAGAAGTCTGTCTGATATTCAGCATACATTTGGGGAGTTTTATGCTTAGTTTTAAGCACTGTTTTGGCTGATCATTGAAATTTAAGAAGTCTGGTTTTTTAATTGTATATATTTGAGGTATATAGCATGATGTTTTGACATACTTAAATAGTGAAATGGGCACTATAGTTAAGGAAATCAACAAATCCCTTCTCTTGTGTAATTTCCCTTTCATTGTCGTTGTTATTATAAAGGCACCAAAAATCTACGCCCTTAGCAAATTTCCAGTACAGGATGCGTTGTTATTACTGCAGTCCTCCTGTTGGACCTCAGCTGTTAGACTCACTCATGTATATCTGCAGCTTTGTACGCTCTGACCCTGCGTCTCCCCATTTCCTACCTCCAGTTTTGTTCTCTTTCCCTCCGGCCCACCCCGGCAACCACTATTTTCAGATTCCACACACAAGTGAGATGCAGTATTTTTCCTTCAGTTTCTGGCTTATTTCACTTAGCGTAATGTTCTCCAGGCTCATCCATGTTGCCTTTTGATTGTTCAGTTTTCTCGCTGAAGTAAAGACAAGGTCATCGGTTGAGACTATGGCTTGGGGAGTAAGTGTTGCGGCTGTTTAATTTGATTCTGACTAGACAATACTTGTGTATGGTGTAAAATCCAAATGGTGTGGAAGGACAAAGAGATAAATCTCTCTTCTGCCCCTGGCAACCAGCTAGCTCCACCTGCTTCCTGAGAACAACCAAAACTCCGCTGTCGAGAAGGTCTCTTCAAGCAAAGTGCCTAGGAGGCACATTTTTTTTTTTGAGACAGAGTTTTGCTCTTGTTACCCAGGCTGCAGTGCAATGGCACGATCTCCGCTCACCGCAACCTCTGCCTCCTGGGTTCAAGCAATTCTTCTGCCTCAGCCTCCCGAGTAGCTGGGCCTACAGGCGTGCACCACCATGCCCAGCTAATTTTTGTATTTTTAGTAGAGACGGGGTTTCACCTTATTGACCAGGATGGTCTCGATCTCTTGACCTCATGATCCACCCGCCTCGGCCTCCCAAAGTGCTGGGATTATAGGCGTGAGCCACTGCACCCGGCCTAGGATGCACAATTTAAGGAGGCAGGTCTCAGGTGCTAACTGAGAGTACGGGCGTCCTAAAATTCTGCACCACCTCCCACCTCCTTCAACTCTGTAGTAGAAGCACGTAAAAGAGGCACGGAGGCTCAAAAAAGGTTTTTCTGCTGTTGGTCCTGTCTGCCTCATAGGTATCTTTTGAAATGTACATGAGAAAAAAAATAGATAAATGTGCTGGTGCAGTGCTATATAAATGTGAGCTGATGCTAAATCACTACTGTAATTTTCATTGTACTACTGTTACTAGCAAAGATACATGTATGTATGCAATAGATGTTACAGTTGTTTGAAGAATTTAACTGAATAATGTATATCGCCATGTTGAAAGTAACCCTTTAGGATTGACTGTTTTCCTAAGTACAAATGATAAACTTTGTTAAAGTTAAAAAACAAAACAACAACAAAAAAACCAACCTCTGAGTGGAAGACGGGCATAAAGCAAGCAGTGAGTTAACTGAGAAGAATCTGAAGAATCACTGACGTTCGTGGCCTTTCATCCTAGTTTGTCAGCTGAATTTCTACCCAGAATAGCAATTGAGAAAGTCTTTAAACCTGCTCTTGTCTTCATCGTCACAGAATTTTACTTTTTCATGCATAGCTGTCGTATCTTTATCCTGCCTGTTTGTAAAATTAAAAAATATTTTGCAGGAGCCCTTTACCCAACACCTGTTACTGCCTCAGGTCAACACCTGAACTTACCTTAGGTCAGTTCCTCCAGGGGAACCTGGAGCCTGGCCATTTCTGGGCATGTCCCCTTGTGAGCTGTGTGCAAGGAGCCCCAGAGTCCTGGAATCATATGGGCGGAGACTGGTCTCAGGCCTAGCCCCAGAGGAGAGAGCACAAAGCTAGTGAAATAGGCAGGTAGATCCGAGACCACGCCTACTCTGCTAAATAAATAGCCGGGGGAAAAAAACCCTCCAATAATAATGATGATGATTTATTTGAACATTGTAGATTTACTACCTCTTCTTTGCCAGTGTTTCATGAAGTTTCCAGGGTAGAATATGTGACTTAAATAATATATTTTCTCCTCATTTATCAAACTTCTTGCACTCAGCATTGTTAATTACATTGTGGAGGGGGAGGAACATGAGGTGTGGTGATATATTATGATCCAAATACCACACTAAATAAACATCTGGAAGTGAATCATTTATAACACAACTGTTATAGGTTAGTGAGTGTGTTTCAGGGTAAACCAGGGAATACACATCTGCATACAGCTCACCAAAAAATACCCTTAGAATCATAAACAAGTGACATCCTTGTAGTTTCGTCCTCGTTATCAGTAACAGGCCCTTTTCATGTGAATCCACAGTCGTCGCTTACAAAGAAGTGCTCTAAAGCTGAGCTCTTTTATATTGGCATTATAATTTTAGACTGACTCCTGAGCTCCGAACCACTTAGAAACTTTTTACCAGCTCTGAACTAGATAGTTGGGCAACACTCATTTCATTCCTTTGCACAGCAATCTGACGACTGAATATGCTTCAGAGATTCTTTTAGGACTAGCTGAGGAATGAAATCAATCATAGCGCGTAAATTACAAGAAAAGTGCTGTTGCTGTCAATTACCTAAGCCCTGCGAATGTAAGTCTTCTGATTTCCTGTTAAATCAGTAATGTTACCAATCTTACTCTATTATTTTAAATAGGACTGTAACTGCAGTTGCTAGGAGTTGAATGAGGGCAGACAAAAGTGAATAGTTAACGAGTCTCAGCAACTAATAGCAAGTTGAAGGTGTCAATAACAGGGACCTTAAAACAGGACTCTCAAAGCGCCACCCTGCTGTCTACAAAAGAAGGTTTAATTCTTTGTTTTTTGAAGTTGTGCCCCTGTATCCTCCCTGCATCCACGTAGTACACAGCAAATGCCAGGTGTGAGCGTAGGTGCTCCTACTGCGTATTGAGTTCCTTACCTTCCCCCGAAGAGAATGACCCTGAGTTCGCGCAGGGAGTCTTGGCTGCACTTTCCCTGGTAATCTTCCCACCCCCACTGCTAGCGGCTGCATTTCACTGACTCATAATTTCCAAGTATGATCAGCATGCTAACAGGAAAGATACAGCCACTGGGCAAAGCAGCAGGCCTGAGGCACCGGCCAAAGCCTATCCAGTAACCGCCACCATTGATGGCATAAAGGAATTAAGGACCACAACAACAATGACCCAAAAACCTAGAGTACAGGAACAATTCCAGAATCAAACCCCTGCTGTGTGTCGCTTCCCCGGCACACCCGGTGCTTCCCAGAGCGCAACAAACTGGATAGGGGAGTGGGGTTTGATTTATCATCTGGCTATCAGTTCACTTCCTATTCTCTAAAAAGAATAAAATCAGTCCACGGCGTTTCACCGAATAATATTACAGGAATCAAACTGGCTGGGAGCCAAATTACGACTGAGGTCTTACTAGGGCTGGACTTGAGTCCGGGGTATCGAATACTATGTGCTTAGGTTTTGCAGTGCGTTGCAGACTTCCTGTTACGAAACACGCTCACCAAAGGCACTACCCTATTCAGCCAGTACTTACACAGGAAACAATTCCACCCTTCTACTTTCTGCGGTAAAGCCTTATCTTTGAGTCAAAGAAATGTTAACTCTCTATATCCCCTCTGCTCCTGTTTACTTTGCATTCCTTTGTTTGTCCGCATCTTGCAAATTTGCAGGTACCTACCGTTGCCTATCTCCATTCTCAAGTGCCCTGTTTGCCCCAATTTCACTCTCAGCATACTTGACGAATGAGGAAGGATCCTACGACAAAGGATAACTATTTCTGAGTCAGTTGTCAACCTTTCAGATGAACCAACTAGCTAAATTCTAAATAGATTTAAATCTATTTTTAGATTTGAAGAGTTCAAGGAAAGTCAGGTCTTCAAAGTTGTATTTAGTCACTCGGTCAGTTCTCTAATTGCCTCACAGGCATTCTCAGAAGACAAGTTTGCTTTAGCACGATGAGATTTAAATGTAAAACAGAATAAATAAATAGATACTTGAAATGGAATGCAATAGACTCGAATGGGAAGAAAGCTGCCCACGTCAACTCTAATACAACTTGTCACTATGGGAACATTTGTTGGAACTGGAGATTAAGGCCAAGGAAACTGGCAGATCTCCCAGTACAGATTTCCTAAGCTGAGAAAAGGCCACCGAGATCCTGTATGTGGCCCCGGTCTGTCTTGAATCACAAGTAAAGACACTGCTGTAGAGTAGGCTAAAACATTGAGAATTCTGACATTCATTTGACAGAATTAGAGGGAAACTCACAGGAACAGACTCAACTTGCACATGTGGAATCTGGATCACAGTGAGATCCCGGGGGTGTGGAAGTCCATTAATGATGGACTGAAGTCAGGACCCCCTAGTCCAGAACCCTGCCCTGTTCTACTGCCAGTCTACCCACATCTGCTTCACTTTACAGATGATAAGGTACTTAGTGCTGATTAGTTATCTGCCTTCAACCTCTGTGACTGCAAGGGAGATTAGAAAGTTTGTATGACGGGAAATTCTATTGGGCATCATGTGATACTGAGAAAAGAAACACACTTATGATAAAATCCTTCCCGACACAAATACCTCTGCAAAGGAATTGAAGAACGTCAGGTCCACACACATGGTGATCTTATTATTTGCCGAGACTCTAGCTATGTTTATATATCCAGTCAGGTGCAAAGGGAAAAAAACACTAAATTCCTCAAGAAAGATTTACGTACTGCATAGTCTTTCACTCAGAAATTGACTTATTTCTTGTTTCAATACAAAACTGACTATTTTTATGAAATTATCATTTCAGAAACATGCCTTATCAGGGAATGTTTTAAGATTTTCCAACATCAAAAAATGCTCTGGTGGATTAATCATGGGCATTTTGAGTGGAAAAAAAACCTTTCATAAACTCACTATCGGGAACTATCACTGCTCTTGTCACTGGTATTCTTATTTTCCCAGAAGTATCCTATGACAGTTATTCAGAAATTTTGGTTGGAGTGAACAGGTCTCAGATCATAGTAGCCTAGTTCAAAGTCTGAAGGTTGTGTGGGCTGTTGCGTGAATTTAAAAAGAGAGAAGGGAAAGGGTGAGGTGAAGGAGAGCCTGGTTACTGTGAACTGCTTTACTGCTGGAAACAGCCACCTTTGCCCAGGCATAGCTTGTCCTGTTGTGAGCCTTCCCCACCATCAGCCAGAAATATGACGATACATCTGTAAAGAACGATGAGCTTTATGAGCCAACGTTTATCATGTGCTTGCCACATGTCAAACCCTGGGCTAAGCACTCTGTATAGGGTACCACCTTCCAGCAACTGGGACAGCCGGTCCTATTACTATCCCCATCTTACAGATGGGGCATCTGAGGCTAAGAGAGGTGAGGTAACTTGCCCGGGGCAAAGGGATGGCAGATTTAAAGGTAAGTAGACAGGTGGGCCAATCTGTCTGCTAAACAGTCTCCTAGAGACTAGTGGAAGTCAAAGGCTATGGCCTTGAAGAAGTCATAATTTGGAGAGTTGTTTTCTCAGTGTAGGGAAGGGTGATTAGATTATGTAAACTTCTGCTTCCTCGATGGGACTTGAAGTTTGAAAGTTTAATTCTATTATTTAGCGTGAAGCTAGCTGCTGAAGCAAATCTCCAAACCTCAATGAATACAATAAAAGTTTATTTCTTGGCTGAGCGTGGTGGCTCACGCCTGTAATCCCAGCACTTTGGGAGGTCAAGACAGGCAGATCACCTGAGGTTGGAAGTTCGAGACCAACCTAGCCAACATAGTGAAACCCCATCTGTACTAAAAATACAAAATTAGTCAGGCAAGGTGGCACATGCCTGTAGTCTCAGCTACTCGGGAGGCTGAGGCAGCAGAACCCAGGAGGCAGAGCTTGTGGTGAGCTGAGATTGTGCCACTACACTCCAGCCTGGGCAACAGAGCGAGACTCTGTCTCAAAAAAGAAAAGTTTATTTCTCATTTATATCACACCCCAGTGTAGATCAGCAACTCTGCTCTTCACAGCCATTCAGTAACCCAGGGTCCTTCCATCTTATAACTCTGCTCTCCTCTAGATCTGTGAAGTACTCTGAGTTCAAAAGTTGGGCAGGAAAAGAGAGTGAAAAAGGCACATGAGGGTTTTTCAGGGAAGACCTGTTCATATTCCAGTGGCCCAATTTCAGTCACATGATCACACCCAACTGCAAAGGTTACTGGGAAATGCAGTCTAGCCGTGGCCTTAAAAGCAGCAGAGAACATGGACACTGGGAAGAATTCGAGCCTTTGCCTCAGGAAGCACAATCTTCATTGAACTCTTATGTAATTATTTATTTCTCTGCTGCCCAGCAATTATTTTTTAATGGTTTTAAGGAATAGCATCCACAGAAGATTTCTTGAAGTTGTCTACAATTCACTTATTTCCAAATAATCCAGTGTACATATGGGCCCATCGTTTTTCTCCCACACTCAATATCCTGGAAATGTCTTTTCTGATATGCATGACTTGTGCCTTTGACTTGCACTGAGGAATATGAGACACAGCTGTATGAAATTCACTGTGATCTCTGCTAAGATGTTATCAAGGAAGAAACTTCTCTCCAGTTTTAGTCTGAGAACAAACTACGTTTCTCTTGAATTGGTTTGCTTTAAATCTGACAAACATTCTGAATCTTATAATAGATCATATTTCTCCCTTTGCTGAGGCCAATAAGAAACTCTCAGCCAAATTTTTCATTCTTCTCCAAACACAGAATAAGGGTTTTATAATATTTATTTCTGTGTATCAGTTTTACCTATCTGCATTATTTTTCTATCAAAAACAAAACAATGTTGCCTTCATCCTAATTGTTTCTATTGTTATTTTTATATTTTGTATATAGAGAGAGAACCTCACAAACCATTGAGGTATAAGATGGGTAGAAGTAAATAATCTCGTAGTGGTTACTGGAGGTGGGAGAGGGCAGGGAGGGGGTAGCAGAAAGTTGGTTAAGGGATACAGAAGTATAGTTAGACAGGAGGAGTAAGTTCTAGTGTTCTTCATACAGCACTAGAGGGTCACTATAGGTAACAATTGATAGCATATTTTCAGACCAGCTTCGGTGGCTCACGCCTGTAATCCCAGCACTTTTGGAGGCCAAGGCGGGCAGATCACTTGAGGTCAGGAATTCGAGACCAGCCTATCCAACATGGCAAAACCTTGTCTCTACTAAAAATATAAAATTTAGCCTGGCATGACGGCATGCACCCGTAGTTCCAGCTACTCGGGAGGCTGAAGCAGGAGAATAGCTTGAACCCGGGAGGCAGAGGTTGTCGTGAGCCAAAACTGCACCACTGCAACTCCAGCTTGGGCAGGAGTGAGACTCTGTCTCAAAAAAAAAGTTAACAATTAAAAATTTAAAAAAAAATTATGGCATATTTTCAAATAGCTAGAAGATCAGATTTCTAACGTTCTCAACACAAAGAAATGATAAACGTTTGAGGTAATGGTTATGCTCTTGTTGTCCTGATTTGATCAGTACACATTGTATCCATGTATCCAAATATCATGTGGTACCCCATAAATATGTACAATCATTATGTGTCAGTTAAAAACAATAATGAAAGCAAAACATAAAAATTAATTAACACAAAATAAATAAATAATCTCATGCACTGTGGGGTAGCACACATGAATTTGATCATATTTGCAATTTGGAATCTGTGCCAAATGCCATCTCAGTTATGAGGGTTATTCAGAAAGACAAATGGGACAGATACTCCCCAGCTGTCGCGCTGCCTTACTGCACAGGAAACCCTGTGAGCAGCTGACCCTCCAAGCTGACCTCAGGCCAGTGGTATTCGTGGTGGTATCGTCCCAGTATCTTAGAGGTGAAAAGTGCTGGGTACAGCATGTGAGACAAAACAGCTCTCTGAGTTAGGACCTTTGCGAAACGAGGAACTGCAAATACATAGGACCTGTGGGAATACTTTAGGAAGTAACCATGTGCTCACAATGCAGATGTACTGTAGCTAACTAGCTGAGTGACCTTGAGCAAGATACTTAACCTCTCTAGATCTCTCATGTCCTTATATGTAAAATAAAGACATTAGCCATTAGGCTAGATAGTCTCTAAAACCTCTTCCAGCACAATAAATCTGTGATAAATTCTTTAAACAAATTAAAATATAATTTTGAAAGTTCCCCCAAGTCCTTCTTTTTTTTTTTTTTTTGACATGGAGTTTTGCTCTCTTGTTGCCCAGGCTGGAGTTCAATGGCATGATCTCAGCTCACTGCAACCTCTGCCTCCCGGGTTCAAGTGATTCTGCCGCCTCAGCCTCCTGAGTAGCTGGGATTACAGGCATAAGCCACAACACCAGGCTAATTTTGTATTTTTAGTAGAGATGGGGTTTCTCCATGTTGGTCAGGCTGGTCTCGAACTCCTGACCTCAGGTGATCCACTGGCCTTGACCTCCCAAAGAGCTGGGATTACAGGCGTGAGCCACAATGCCAAGCCTCCCCCAAGTCTTTCAGAAATAAATGACTATGTCTAGAGAAAAAGATCTAAATGGGCAAACTACAAATGAGTAAATCAGGCTAGTAGCAAACATATTCAGGAACCACTGTGATAAAACGTGGCTGCTTATCTTTCCTGTTTGAACAGGAGGTCACAGTTTTGCTATATAGAGTTGAAAGGTTGTAAAAACAGGATGTGTTCATTTGAGTTAGAATTCAGCTGGGGCACCTGGACAGTTAATCCATCTCTGGACTTTAGGAATCCGACACTACCCTAAGAACACTGTGGTAGAACTCACAGGCCATGCTGGACATGAAACAGACTTGCTCCATTGGTGGTGGGGCATGGAGAGGTTCATGTCAACCCCGCACATCCCCAGGAACTATACTAGTTCCCTTATTGCCCAAGCCAATATCTACCATGCAAAGCATCTTTCAACTGTAATTCAGGACTATGAGCCTGCCACCCGAGTTTTTGCATACAGTTCAGAACTAGTGCTAAAAATGCATTTTATGGTGAAACAAGGGATTAGCTAATCTTTCAGGCTAACAGAGGGCCGGCTACAAATGTTTCCTGCGTGTATTGTGAAACTCTGAGATAACAGAGAAGTTCCTTATTGCTCTCTGAATTTCCCTTCCCCCAGGACCTCCACTGGTCACACAAGCCATTATCTGAGGCAAGCTGACCAGAGCATGATGCTGTGACTTTTTTTGGTTCATACTTCCAAATTAAATCTGGTTAGAAAAAGAAATGACTAGAAAGTATTTAAATCTTGTAACGAATTCTGGAGGAGTTTGATTATTTTTATCTGTTGGCCAGTCTTTAAAAAAAAAAATTATTAGCAGGGCGTGGTTGCTCAAGCCTGTAATCCCAGCACTTTGGGAGGCCGAGGCAGGTGGATCACGAGGTCAAGAGATGGAGACCATCCTGGTCAACATGGTGAAACCCCGTCTCTACTAAAAATACAAAAAATTAGCTGGGCACTGTGGCGCGTGCCTGTAGTCCCAGCTACTCAGGAGGCTGAGGCAGGAGAATTGCCTGAACCCAGGAGGCGGAGGTTGCGGTGAGCCGAGATTGCGCCATTGCACTCCAGCCTGGGTAACAAGAGCAAAACACCATCTCAAAAAGAAAAAAAAAAAAAAAAATACAAAAAATTAGCTGGGCATAGTGGCGCGTGCCTGTAATCCCAGCTACTCAGGAGGTTGAGGCAGGAGAATTGCCTGAACCCAGGAGGCGGAGGTTGTGGTGAGCCGAGATCATGCCGTTGCACACCAGCCTGGGTAACAAGAGTGAGACTCTGTCTCAAAAAATAAAAATAAAAATTACTATTTTTTGAAACGGAGTCTCACTCGTGTTGCCCAGGGTGGAGTGCAATGGCGCAACCTCTGCTCACTGCAACCTCCACCTCCCGGGTTCAAGTGATTCTCCTGCACTCAGCCTCCCGAGTAGCTGGGACCACAGGTGTGCACCACCACACCAGGCACAAAATTTTCGTAATTTTAGTAGAGACGAGGTTTTATCATGTTGGCCAGGCTGGTCTCGAACTCCTGACTTCAGGTGATCTGCCCACCTCAGCCTCCCAAAGTGCTGGGTTTACAGGCGTGAGCCACTGCACCCAGCCAGTCTTATTTTTTATTAACAAGCTCATTCTCTGGATATTCTGGAGAGAAAAGCAAAACACCCAAGAAAATGGGCACTTAGGCAGTAAGAACTCAGACCCCTGCGGTTTGATGCTCAGAGCACAGAGGCCGCCACCCTTAGGTTTCACACATGCTGTCGAGACCAGGGGTCACTTTGATGACTAATACTTTGAATGGTAGTATATGCATTTAATATCCTCTGGGGCCTTACTTAAAAGAGTAATTTTCTTTTTTTTTTTTTTTAGGGTAAAGGCATGGGAATTTCCCAACCACATTGTTCCACTTCATAATTCATATCATCTTCTTTCTCTTCTCATTTGATTTTCACTGCAGACCAGAGCGAAGGCAAATGTGTATTATTTGGTAGCTTCTGAGCAGCAAGGAAAAACTGACTCGCAACCCCCAAAGCAAGAAGTGAAGCCGTAACCACTAGAACTCTCACATTGACATGTTCCTGACTAGCGAATGTCTAGGCATCAAACATCTGCCTTCTTACAGCTATGTTTTATTATTACGTAAACACGGCTACAAGATTTCTGACATAAAATAGTAGATGACTCAGTGTCTTCAAATGATTAACTGCTGGTTTTTTGCCTGACCTCTTTTTTCATTTCTTCAGTAATAAATCTATTGTCATGCATTTAATTAGGGAAGACTGCAGCGCCCAAACGCAGGTCCTGAAAATCACTCGCTCTCTCCAACAGCGTGAGGGGGTTTCTCATTAGTTTCATAAGTGCCATGTAAATTTCAAAATGATACCAAACGAGAATATTTTAAATTTTATCACACTACCAGCTAAGAAATCTGTAAGCACATTGTTAATTCACTTATATTCATCACACAGCCAAGCAAATGCGGCATCTCAAAACTGAGAAAGTTAAAGCCCCATTTGAGAATTCTATAGCCACGTTTCTTGAGTCCTGTTTACATATCTCATTTGTTAACTCAGATTCCTCGTGGAGCGCATCTCTCGCCAAGGTTCCTGTTAGATTCCATTCCGGTTCATGTCTTTGTGGAGGCATGTCTGTCTGTAGCCAAGACGTAGAGGGCTAGGCTGGTTGTAACACAAATCAGAAATTTCTGCCTTGCAGCTGATGGGGAAGTAACACTTAATTGAGCGTGGAGCTCTGTGTAGACCCTCAAGACTAAGTTAAGAGGCAAGGTTTGAGGAAAAATGTTTAGAAGCTGCATACCACACAGCTGGAAATAAAGGGCAGAGCTGTTTTCTGGGGAATTTGAATTATGTGTACATCCAATCAAGAACAATCAATGAATTTGTGTCCAGCAATAATAATCCCTCACTTATAGTTAATGCAGCACTTCCCATGAATTCTCTCTCACTGAGCCTCACAACAGTTCTGTGCAAACAAGGCTGTTAATTGCAAGCCATTTTATTTTATTTATTTATTTTTTGAGAAGTATCTTCTCTTCTTTTCTGTCGCCCAGCTGGAGTGCAGTGGCATGATCTTGGCTCATTGAAACCTTCGCCTCCCAGGTTCAAGTGATTCTCTTGCCTCAGCCTCCCTCATAGCTAGAATTGCAAGCATGTGCCCCCATGCCTGGCTAATTTTTGTGTTTTTAGTAGGGATGGGGTTTCACCATGTTGGCCAGGCTGGTCTTGAACTCCTGACTGTAGGTGATCTGCCCACCTTGGCCTCCCAAAGTGCTGGGATTACAGGCATGAGCCACCACACCCAGCTGAAATGTCATTTTAGAGATAAGAACACCAAGGCTGCAGGAGGTGACATAGTTGGCCCCCTTTTGAACTAGATGTGAGTGGCAAGCTGGGGCTCACATTCAGGTTTTCTGAGGGTCCTTTTTACTAAGCAGGCTGCCTCTGTCCTCAAATCCAGGCACTTGATTAAGGAATCCACCCCCTTAACCAGCTTTCCATTTGACAAAGTGAGAGTCCTATTAATCTAATATTGAACTTCCGTTAGTCCATTTCCATTGTACTGAAACACAAAAGACAAATGCCCATCATTAAGAAAGTTGCAACAAGGGGGAAATTTATGTCTCTTTCCCCCTCCTGCTTTGTATTCTCTTTTCATTGTTTCCATTGCTTTTGTAATTCAGATCGTATTAGAAATTAGAGGAAGGTTGAAACCAGGTATATGGTAACCAAGGTGTGGAAGATGGAATTCATCCTTTTTTCTCCAGGTTTTTTGAGTGGAAGTTCTGACCGTAGGAACAGTTGTGTCACTGTGTTCTACGCAGTGTCATTTTATTTTCCTGAAAACATTTGTCATCGCTACAAGTAGATTAGAGGTTAGAATGCAGGATTGGCAGGCAGGATTTGTGGTTTCTATTATTAGACCTGCCATAATTTCATCGCACAAGGGTGAGTCCTAAGCTGTGTGGTTTATTGGAGAGAGAACTTGATTGGAACTGGCCCTTCTGTGAATGAATGATAGATACTGAGCACCAGAGCTGAGCATCAGCCGAGAGGCTGGGTCCAGACTAACGTGAATCCCCCGTCACTGAATGCAAGCATTGCTATGTCTAACGTGTGAGAGTCACTCCTCTGCAGGAGGAGCTGCAGAAGAATCACACTGGGCCTCTTTCCACAACTTTCTACAGTGGGAACAGAAGCCACTCTTTTAAAAGGGTTCAGCCAAAGGAAGGAGAAGGACCTTGAGTTGTTGTTTTTTTTTTTTTGTTTTTGTTTTTGAGGCAGAGTCTCACTCTGTCATCCAGGTTGGAGTACAATGGCACAATCTCGGCTCACTGCGACCTCCACCTCCCAGGCTCAATTGAGTCTCATGCATCAGCCTCCCAAGTAGTTGGGATTATAGACCCGTGCCACCATGCCCGGCTAATTTTTGTATTTTTAGTAGCGATAGGGTTTCACCATGTTGGCCAGGCTGGCTTCAAACTCCTGACCTCAAGTGATCTGCCCACCTCAGCCTCCCAAAGTGTTGGGATTACAGGCGTAAGCCACCACGCTCGGCCAACTTTGAGTATTGTATTCTGAATATGCTTCAGGGTCTGTGCATAGACCTGCAGGTCTCCACTTAGTGAGAATGAAAGAGAGAGATAGGGAGAGAAGCAGGTCAAAAGAACAGTACATTAGTTGAAGAAGCAGGAATGGAGTGCGGTAGTATGTTTTTGGATGATCGCTGGTACTTCCTTGACTTCAGATAACGTGATTTAGACTGGGCCAAATAATTTAGAAAGCAAAGGGGAGAAAAAAATTATGGTGCACACTCAAACTCCAAAAAAGACTTATCCTAGCCTTCTGAGCTTAAAGGAATGGATTGAACCAAATATGGTCAATAGACGTTGGGTCAGCCCTGCACTGTTCCCAGATAACATAAACCCAAGACCTCTTCGTACTGTGCAGCGTACCTGAAGACCCCCATGTTCAGGTCTAATTCAATCTAGGACCTGACAGTAGCTCAGCCAGGAGAGACAAATAACTTTGGCCTGGATTCTGAGTCTCAGCATCTACGGCTCTACTCTCCTAACCCCGAGCCATCTTTATTAGATAATTGTACATTTGCCTTCTTCTCCATCAATGAAGCCCAATGTAACCTAACCTGGTCCCTCTCAGAATACACGCAATGAAGTTGAGTTCATTCATTTCTTCCATCATTTATTCACTCAAGATATATGTATGTATGCTTCTTATGTGCCAAACACTGTGCTGTGCCTGTGGATACGGTGGCAACAGCAAACGCCACAAAGACAAAAATGCACGATCTTTGCCTGATGGGAGACAGGGCCAAAAAGAAATTACACATATAGGGTATATAATTACAACCGAGACAAGTGCTAGGAAGGAAAAGGCAGGCTGCCATATGAGCACTGAAGCCCCAGAAACGTGGTGGAGGATGGGACACCTGAAGATAAATACCCTGAATGCTAACCACCTGCCATCCTGGACTTCCAGGCGTGGCCCACACTCAGTGTTTATGTTCCCTCCACTCCTGAGAAATTCCTCCTGGAACATCCTCTGGGCCACCTCCCTGGAAAATGCTGGCCCTGTCTTCGTTACAGCCTGCCTTAGCGCCCTCAAACCACAGTGATCTCATCTGAACTCAATGACGAAATTCTGACACAGACTTTCTAAAGTCTAAAGTCTAAAGCTTTTTCTTGCTGGCCCTACTGCAAGAAAAAGCTTTCATTCTTTTTTCAAGATAAATTTTAGAGCAAAACTAATCCTAAATCAGTGGGAGCGGAACAGATCTGTCTGAGAACAAGGGGAGCATCCAGGGCAGCACAGGGCTGATGCTTGGTGGCTTCCCGCTGTCCTCTCTGCCCTTTGAGATGGGGCGTAGGGCAGGTAGAAAACACTGCTCTTGGGGTCCGGAGACCTGCATCCTGGCTTATCCATCTCTGGGGGTCCCTGAGAAGGTTTGATTTGCTTAAGTTTGAGGTGAGTGTATCCATTGCACGCATCTACTGGCCCTATTTAAAAGCTGAAAATTTAACAATTTGTTTTTTAGGCTGTATCAAGATGTCGCTTCTCTGTCAAAATGACTATGTCTCAGTGCCGTGTCCACTTTGTGTATGCTCGGTGACAGTCCAGCACCCTGTCACTCTAAGCCATCACTCTGGCTCTTGGGTAACAAGCCGGATAACCCAATAGGAAAGGATCAGTGCTGAATATAGAAGGACATAGTTGTAGGAGGGGACAGTCTGAGATTTTGTGTTTAGCTGTGAACCCATTTTTTTCTGGATTTTTCCTGTTGGTATTAATGACATTCTATGCCACTGAAATGAATATTTAATGAACAATAGTAATGAACCAGGCACTTGGCAGGATCTGGGAATAAAATGATAAATAAGATTGCCCAAGCCTCAAAGAGCTTAGAACTGCCCAGAGAAAATACAATTAAGTATATAATTACAAGAGGGTATATTCAATCTCAAAGGTAGAATCCCTAAGGGGCCTCCATCCCAGATACGGGAAACAGAGAAGGGCTTATCTTAGAAGAAGGGATCTCGGTTAAGGCTGCTGTTACCTACTTACTTTTTCTTTTTAGTGGCAGTTGAATGGCATGAGGTTGATGGTTCATAATTTATTCAAACATTCTTCAGTTGTGAAAAATTTAGACTTTTGTGCTCAGGCTCTCTGGCTCTTTTTTTTCTCTGTTCCATTGTAAATAATACTGTCATTAGCCCTAGCAGGTCATTTGTCACTCCAGTGGGCCTCATTGTTACCTATCAAATGAGTTGGGCTGATGGAGTTTAGGAGAACTCATTCATCTCTAAACCTCTATGAAATGCCACGTTACGTAGATGGCTTCCCTTTGCCCGTTGTAAACAGGCAAAAATACACATCTGTGGACCACTTCTCTCTGACACGCAGCCTGTAATTTTTATATATTTCTTCCTTCCAGTAATCAGTATATATGGAGACTGAATTAATTGTAGCTCTCATTTAAATAAAGCATAATTATAATAGTAAATCTTCACATGGTTTCATGAAAGAAAATCATATAATGCATTCTGAGATCAAATATAAATTATTTGGAATTAGCTGCCTTTTTAAAAGTAGCTGTGTCCTCGTTCCTTGAGTAGAAACGGTTTGGTTATTATGTATGGTTTCTATTATCTATGTTTTTTTCTCCACT